GCTGCAAACCAAAGCTACTTCGGTTAAAAAAAAAAAAAGATTCAATACTTAAACTGTGGGGAGAAGATGGCTGGGTGCCAGAGAAAACATTCTCCTTTAATAGTGTTTGAACACGGATGGCAACGCAGTCTGTAGAGAGGCTGTGAGAAGGGGCCACAGCTAATCGTTCATCGCAGCTGTCTGAGCTCTTGATCATCTGCCATCCCCCCAAACAGCGACCTCTTTTTTTCTGGTGACTCCAGACTTGAATGACCTAGTGTGGAGAATAGAAACTGTGTGTGAGGGACTGGGGGCGGGGAACGGTAAGGGAGCCTCAGTCAAAAGGTTTATGCATTGCCCTTCCTGACTGCAGCCAGGGGCAGCACTGGACCCCATGTCTGTCTTTGTAGCACTGCTCCTGCAGGAACAGACGGGGGGGGGGGGGGCAGCTCAGGTTTGCACTGGCTGACCCACTCAGACCCCAGCCAGGGCAGCAACGTTGTTCGAGTGCTTCTGAAAAATCCCTCTGTCTTAGCTCCTCAGCCCATCCACCACAGTTTCCTGGCTTGGGTTCTTTGTAGCTTTGGTTCGGTACCTTTTTGGAGTACGCAAAATATCAGTGCCTCAGTTTACAAGTTGTGGTGGGTCATGCCTGCAAACAGGAGCCTGAGCAAAGGAGGATCAGGAGTTCAAAACCAGCATGGTGAGTTCTAGGCCAGCCTGGGCTAGATAGCAGGGCTGTATCTTGGAGACAAAAAACAACAGAGGGAGGGTTGGGGAGAGGGTTCAGTTGGCACAGTGCTTGCCAAGCAAGCACAAGGACCTGAGATCAGTTGCCAGCAGTGTGTGCGTGGCAGCCAACAGCTGTCGCGGTGTGCAGTTCTAATCCCAGTTCTGGGGAGGTAGGTAGAAACAGGAACTCCTGCGGGATTTGTTGGCCAGCCTGCCTGCACAGGTCCCAGCGAAAGACCCTGCGTCAAAAAACACAGTGCTTGACCGTTGACCTATCTCTGCACACACAAAGGAAAGGGATTAGTGAATATGGCTAGTGAATGCAGAAGAGTTTCATTGCTGACAAAGCTGGTGAGCAACTGCCCAAACTGTTATTTCTGGCCCTTGCCTACCCCTTGAGTTAGGTGGTTTGTTCAGTCTCTGTCTTGGAGGAAATTAGAATTTGGAAAATAGTTGGGGAAAGAAGCTTTTTTTTTTTTTTTTTTTTTTTTTTTTTTAAGCTACTTTATTTTTTATTTTGGTTATTTCCTACTGTTTCTCCTCCATCCCCTGGGCTTAGGACCAGGCACACCCAGTCATTCCAGGACACTACTGCAATGAACTCTGTTCTCTTAAGACCATGAGATTTCTGACATTCACCTTCCAAGCAGAATCCTCCCAGCAGGACCCCTGGCTCTCCCAGAGGTCAACTTGGCTTCTCCCAGAGGTCAAGTTGGACTGGCCAGCACTGGGGGAGGCAGAAGAAGCCCCTTCCTCTCTCTGGGAAAACTTCCAAAGGGTCCCAAAAGGAAAAATAATTGCAGTCTATTTCAAACAAGGACCCAGAGCATTTTGGATGTGAGTTCCAATGGCAATCGCTTCATGCATATCACTAAAAGATGGGGAGGGGACAGAAATAAAAAGGAGTGAGCAGAAGGAATAAGGAATTAGCCAATCCTCAAATAAGGGACCTTTGGCATGGTGGTACATGGCCATAATTGGAGCACACTGGAAGGCCAAAGCAGGAAGGTTGCAGTTTGAATTAGCCTTGGGTTAGGTGGCTAGACCTTACTTATCTCAAAACCAAACAAACCAAAAACCCAACTAAAACAAACAAACCTACAAACAAACAAACAACAATAAGGAAGGCTCCCAGGAATTCTAAGCTCTTCCCTGGTCTGTGCGGAGCATCTGCTTGTGTTTTAGTTATTCATCTGTGTGGTCGGTGTCATCCTAGCAGCCTTAGGATGAGTCAGAATTGGAAATGGTAATACTTTTTTAAATGGGTTGTTGAATTCAGTTTGCAAATATTTTGCTGATAATTTATTGTTATCATCATATTACTGGTCTCACAGAGAGAGTTTGGCAGTGTTCCTTCAGTTTCTATGTCATGCAACAGTTTAAGGAACATTTATTTAGTCTCTCTCTCTCTCTCTCTCCAGGTTTTCTCTGTGTAGCTTTGGCTGTCCTGAAACTTGCTCTGTAGACCAGGCTGACTCTGAGTTCACAGAGATCCCCCTGCCTCTGCCTCCTGAGTGCTGGGATTAAAGGTGTGCGCCACCACACCTGGCCATCTTAGTCTCTTTTTAAAAAGCTGATAGAATTCAGTGGTGAATCTGTCTGGTCCTGGGTTTTCTTTACCGGGAGACATTTTCTTACCCCTTTGCCCTTCTTGCTCAATATAGACATGTATTGTTCATATCATTTCTATTGAACTTTGGTTGGCCATGTACGTTCAGGACAGGAACTCAAACAGGGCAGGAGCCTGGAGGCAGTTGATACAAAGGCTAGAGCAGAATACTGCTTCCTGTCTTGCTACCATGGCGTGCTCGGCCTGCTTTCTTACAGAACCCAGGACCTTCTGCCCAGGGATGGCACCATCCACAGTAGAGTGGTCCTGCCCTCTCAGTCTCTAATTAAGAAAATGCTGTACGGGCTTGCCTACAGCCCAATTATAGAGACACTTTCTCAATTGGAGCTCTCTCCTCTATGATGACCCTAGCTTGTATTAATTTGACATAAAACTAGCCAGCACACACATACATCATTAAAAAAAAAGTTTTATCAGGTCAAAGACAGTCAGATAGCCGTGTATGTCTGTCGTCCTAGCCGTTCAGGATACGTGGTTCCTCAAAGTGTCCCATGACAATCCCCGTGTCTGGCTGACTTTACTGTGGCCTTCCCCTTTCCACCTCTTACCTTTATTAATGTGGATTCCTCTCTCCTCTGACTGCTTTTGCTTAGGATTTGCGGAACTCCTTTATGTTTGGAAATAACCAACTCTTTGGCTCTTTGTATTGCTCCTTCGGTCTCAGTCTCGCTGGCTTCTGCCCTGATCTTTATTATGTTCAGCTACTGATTTAGAGTTGGTCTCATTCATGAAAAAATATTGAGGTGCGTTCACTAAGTTATTTATTTGGGACTTCTTTGATTTTTGAAAGAAAATATTCTTTTGCTTTTATTTATGTGTGTGTGTGTGTGTGGGTGTGTGTGTGTGTGTGGGTGTGTGGAGTTACAGGTGATTGTGAGCTGTCCTGGATACTGGGAACTGTACCTATGTCCTCTGAAAGAGCAGCTAATGCTCTTAACCACTAAGCTCTTTCTCTAGCCCTGATAAAAGAGGTTGTTTGTTTGTTTTTTTTAAATGGTTTATTTACTTTATGGGTGTGTGTACCGCATGCAGGTATGTCTGTGAGCCATGTACTGTCTGTTGCTCATGGAGGTCAGAAGACGGCATCCCATTCCTTGGAAGGGAGTTACAGAGAGCTGTGAGCCGCCATTCGGTGCTGGGAATCGAACCTGACTCTTCAAGAACAAGTGTCCTTAACCACTGTCCACTGTTTCTCCAGCCCCAGCCCTGATTTTTTAAACGGAAGCATTCCTAGTTGTAAACTTTCTTCTTTGCTGTAACGAAAACTCGAGTTTTCACTATCGTTTCCACTTTCTTTTGCTATTGTTTTCTAGTTTTATTCCCCTATGATCTGACAAGTTGTAAGAAATGGTTACTGTTATTACAGTTCTTGTATTTGTTTGGATTTGCTTTGTGTCCTGGGAGTGTTTGAGTGTCAAAGTCCTCTACATCTGGATCCCTGAAGCATGCGGGCAGGTGCTCCCCAGAGGAGGTGTGCATGGATAACAGGAGGCATGGAGCAAGGGTATGTTCTCAGTTTGACAAGGGGTGGCTGGATCTCATGGGAGTCCTGGCACACAAGACAGCATCCAATTCAGGCGGGGAGGTGAGCCTGTTTGATCGCCATGGCGACTGGTCCAGCAGGGGGGAAGGTAAGTCTCTCTCTGCCTGAGTGTGCACGAGGTACTTGTTTCTAGCAGTTGCCGCTCAGAGTGGATGAAGATATATTCACCTGTGGCTTGAGGGTCACAGAGTCCAAGGGGATATTTCTAAAGGAGATGACGCTGGTGCTAACGGCCTCTGTTTGTACATATCATCCCAGCCAGTTGCTAACGTGGTCACTGACTTCCCCGCCAGCTCCCTACCAGCCTTCGCTTTTTCTCTCAGCCCACACCTTTGCCGACCTCCGTCCAACCCTCTTCAATTATTCCTCTGAGAGTCTAACTGCTGAGAGGAGGGGTCACTGGTTGTGGTCTCTCGCACCACGTACACTCATCACCACTGAGGGTCCAGCTGTTGAGAGGAGGGTCACTGTGGTCTCTCTGTCCTTGCCACGCACACTCATCACCAGGCACCTCGCTCAGTGCAGGTTCTAGCTCAGCAGATCTAGAGAAGGCCCGTATTTTACACTTCTAGCATGTTCTCCAAGTTCCTCCATGCTTGGCATGAGGGAGGTGAAGGGAGGAGAGAAGAAAGGCAGGGAAAGAGCTCTGCACCCATCTCCCAAATCCTGCAGCAGGAAGTGACGTGGCTGAGGTCAGGGCTAGAGAGAACCATGGTATATACAGCAAGCTCTGAGGCGTTGCTTTTAAGATCACTATTGAATGCTTAAAAAAGAAATTATCGTGGAGGGGCAGGGAGGGGGCTCAGTGGGTGAGGCGCTAAGTGTGAGCGTGAGACCTGGGCTTCATCCCCGGAAGCCACATTAGTCCCAGTGCTCCTACTGAGAGATGTGCGTCAGTCAGAGACAGGCGAGCTAGCCTGGGGCATGCAGGGAAGAACAACAGGACGCTCCGCCTCAAACAGTGTGGAAGGCGAGGATCAACACCAAGATGGCCCTCTGATCCACACACACACAGCTGGACAGGTGGACATGCACACACACACACACACACCATAGTCACACATAAAAATTTTTTTCAATGGTACAAATTAAATACATTTATCGAGTGTTTGGGGGAATAACTGTTTATTTTAAATATATCTGAAGCTTTATATTAACAAAACCCTTCTCCCTTTCCATTATCATAAGCATTTACCATTCTTAAGGCGTTTGCAGTGGCAGCTGGGGTCCTAGTGAGCTGGCTACCCATGCCCTTCCGATGTGCAACCTCGTGTGTTTATTCGTATTCATTTAGATGACAGCAAATGGGTAAAATTACAAGCTAGTGCACTGAGATTACAGCCCACGTCTACAAAAGAGCGCACTGACACGTGTTAATAATTTACAATAAACTTATCAATACATTTATATTAATACCGCCTACTTCTGTGTGGGTATGAATTCAGTGTTCTGCGTTAACGGTTGTTACTGCCAGAATCCCCATGTGGGGACCAAGGTTATCTTACATAACTAGTCATAAAAATAGAAACGATATCTCAGAGATTAGAATCTAATTTAAAAATATACAGTCTCTGTGTTTACTCCTTCGAGTTCTTCTTTGGCTACATACAGAAAGCATCTTCTCCCGGTTCCTCCAGAGCAGAGGTGTCCTAGCTGGTTTCCTCAGGCCCTCATTTGACCATTTGGTCATTGGGATTTCATATTGTGTTACACTGCTTTGTAGCTACTGAACCCGTTGCTTGCCCAAAGCTTGCATCAAACACAGGACAGCACAGAAAATACATCATGTGATCTTTTGTCTTCCTTTGGCAAAACACCATCTCCAATTTTTTTGTTTGTTTGTTTTTGTGGTGTCAGAGATTGAACTCGGGACCTGGCACCTGCTAGACAGTCGCTCTGCCACCAAGCCACAACCCTACAGACACTCCCATGGCACCTCGGAAAGAAATGTACGGCCTCCATCACTTTTAAACCTTCAAGAGGGCAATCCAGATGGAAAAACAGCGGTGTGCTTGCTTCTGAGCTAACACCCTGGAGATAGCCGGAGGCGACACTTCACAAGCTGCTTCCAGAAGCCTGGGTTAAGCAAGGCAGGGCACAGCGTTCACCTCCCTGGCGCCAGGACTTCCTGGGTTCCAAGCTCACCACAGATGATAGAGACCAAAGGCCCTCACCGTGAATGTGCATCAGAACCGCCTGAAGGTTTGGAGTTCAGAGCTGGCCCAGCCCCAGGGGTTTGGCTTCCTGAGTCTGGGTGAGACTAAAGAATTTATCTCTTCAGCAGCTCCCCAGGTGATGTGCGGCTGGTCTGAGGACCACCCTTCTAGAAACAACACCCATTGAGACACCACTGGGTGGTCCCTGTGAGAGGAAACGGCTGGGCAGGCCAGCCCAGGGCACTCCATGTCCACTATCATTCCTTGTCCGATGCATCAAGCAGGTACATATTTGACCTAGCAGTCTTTGGGCTTCTTTCCCCCTTCCATATCCTTCCTTCCTACTGGAATACAGAGGTATTCCAGTATTAACCTTACATAGGGTAAGGTTAACCCTGAGACAGGAAACCAAGAGGTGTGTCTCTCTGCCAGCTCTGGTAGCCAACCCAAGGCACCTGTGGGCGCAGGCCAGGCAGGGACACCTAATGCTGTCCTCACCGGCACAGAATTCACCTTGTTCTTCAAATAAAACAACGGGCTAGCCCACACTGCAGGACTAGAGGTGAGCGAGTGCCTGTTCACTCCTCATACCCTAAGGTAAAAATGTCAGCTTTAAGTTCTCTCCAATTTTAACAAACAAAAAGAGAAACTCCAAAGTTGGTAAACTATGTTCTGGCTCTTGATTCATTTTTCTCCAGCGACATACTAAAAGGAAACAACCATTATTCTCTCCTGTCCCATTCCACAACTGTTTCCCAACAACATGGTCCTCAAACACACAGCTTACCAAAACGACTTCAAATATCTCGGGTGTGGAGTCTGTGATTCTCCCTCTAAAGATGAAAAGACAACAGTTCGATGAAACAAAATGGGACTTTAAAACAGCAACACCCTAACCTGATACTGGAATAGGGACAAAGCAGGGGTCTGGGATTTGGGCAATGAACTCCAGGGCAGCTGGCTGAGGAGACCTTGTCATACGTGATGACGTCACCAACCCCTCTCTGCCCTCCAGGTGCCTCCCAGAGATGCTTCTCAGCATATAGAAGAAAGACATGAACTCTAGGGGGTGAACCCTTTCCACCTCCGACCCTGAGACTCCTCAGTGTGATCGGTCACAGTTAATCTTCCAAGTGGCCCCGTGAGAGCCCATGCTGACGGAGGCTAGACCTTCTCCATCTCAATCTGCTGGTGGTAGTGTTGAGTCTGCCGCTGTCCAATGTTCAGCTTGTAGACGGAGCTCTTGTGCTGGCACCTGCGGTAGCCCCACACTGCCCCCACAACAGCCAGGAGCAGCAGACCGCACAGGACGGTGACGACGATGGCGATCACCGGGCCTTTCCTGAGGCTGGGACACTCATCTCCAGCGCATGGTGCCAAGGTTGGAAGCTGCTTCTCCTTGTTTGCACCAGGCCCAGGGCCCTCCTGTCCCAAGAAGTCCTCAGATAGCAGGTACGGGAAGCTGTCCTGAACCTCAGGAGCTGTGGCCTCTGATGGCGGCTGGCTGGTCTCCACCTCAGCCGGGGGGGTGCGTTTAAGCGTCGGCTGCGGAGTTGTTGGTGCCGTCTCTCGGGTGGAGGTGGTGAGTTTGTAGGGTAAGGTGGCCGTGGGTGACTGTTGCGTGGGGGCTCTCTGAGGCCCAGTTGAATGATACTTAGTCAAATCACTATCCCTAGTATGGGGACTCTCAGTCTCAGACACGTTCATGGGCCCCGGAACCAGAGCCTCCACATCCAGCATTCTCGAAGGGCCGATCGAACTGTGTATCACGAGGTCGCTTGGCGAGGCGGTGGCAGTCTTGCGCTCCTTGACTTTCCCAGTGGGCTGATCTGGAGTCATGAGAACACCTTCATCCAGTCCGACTGGCCCATCCTCTTTGTCCTCATCATCTTCGCGCCCCGTCTCTACCTTCCTCCAAGCCCCATCTGTCACAGGGTAGCCGTCTAGCCAGGAGTCGCCACTGCTGCTCACCCCTGGGTCCTCTGCCTTGCTGTCGTTCCTGTCCACAAATGGCTCTGAGGGGCTGTCGGTGGTGGCATGGACCAGCCTGGTTTCAGACTCCCCTGGGACCAGTTCCCCTTCACTGTGATCGTCTCTGGCAAGAAGTGGCTGTTTGGTCTCATCCCCCACTTCCTTTTCCAGCTCTGGCTTGCGGAAAGTCTCAGCCGGAAACCAGAGCGAGTACTTCCGGTTTAGGCGGGATCCTGGCCAGTCCGTATGGACACTGCTCCTGGTGCCAGGCAAGTCTGTGGTTGGCACAAAGGCTTTTTCCTGGGCTATATTTTCTTTAGACACAGAAGGGAAGACCAGGCGACCTTGTTTTGGTGTCTCCTCAGAGGCGTCCTCTTGAGCCTTTTCCTCTTCTCCCTCTGCCTGGGAGTCTTCCATGAGTTCCCTGAATGACGCGGATCTGTCATCAGGAAAGTTTTCTTCATAGTCAATATGGGCCTCAGTCTCATCTGGAGGGAAAGAGGAGAAACTTCGTTAAAGCTGAAGACATGGAGTCAATGTGGAAAACCTGAAGGGGAACACAACATGGAGACTGGAAGAGAATTAATAACTATTGTCGCTTGGGAATCATAGCCACCCCTGAACAGTGTCCATTCAGATCATTTTAACTAAAATACAGAGCTTAACCATAGGCACTGAGGATCTATGAAATATAAAAAACAAAACAAGTATACTTCTATACACTAGAAAACAACATTTAAAGATTTCCAGGAAACTGACAGTTTTAAGGGTACCACTTAGAATAACAATAAAAAATCAGGTATGGTAATACATGCCAGTAATTCCAACATTTGTGAAAATGAATCGGTGGGAGGGGGTGTGAGTTTGAGTCTAAGCTGTATAGTGAGACCCTGTCTCGAAGGTGGAGGGGCACGCCCCGGAGCTGTAGCTCAGTTGGGAATGTGCTGGCTAGCACGCAGGGCCTAGTTTGCTTTCTGTGCTGTGATTCAGGCCGTGACCAAATGCAACGTGCTCAGCTCAGACTCCCAGCTCATAAGGCGTCACTGAGGGAAGTCAGAGCAGAAACCTGGAGGCAGGAACCGAGGCAGAAACCATGGAAGAACACTACTGCCCAGCATGCTCTAACCCATGCTCAGCTAGCTCCTCCGTCTCCATCTCCCTGGCTCCCTGTCTTCACCCCGAGACAGGGTCTCACTATGCAGCTCCGGCTGACCTGGAACTCTATGGAGACTAGGCTTGCCTAGTCTCAGTGTTACCTGCCTCTGTCTTCCAAGTTTAGCCAACTTTCTTATACAGCTCAGGTCCACAGTGGGCTGGGCCCTCCCAAATATCTATGACTCAAGACAGTGACCCACAGACACACCCACAGACAAACCTGATCAAGAAAATAGGTGACTCAAAGTTGTATCAAGCCAGCTGGGCACGGTAGCCCATGCCTGTGATCCCAGCACTCTGGAAGGCAGAGGCAGGTGAATCTCTGTGAGCTCAAGGCCAGCCTGGTCTACAAAGTGAATCAGGACAATCAAGGCTACACAAAGAAACCCTGTCTCAGAAAAGAAAAAAAAGTTGTATCAAGCCAACCATAAACAGTAATCAGAACAGCACACAAGGCTCTTGATCTCCAGCACCACGTAAACCTGTTATCCCAGCACTAAAAGGATCAGAAACTCAAGGTCTTTCTCAGTGACCTAAGGAGTCCAAAGCCAGTCTGGGATATATAGGACTCTGTCTCAAACACACACATGCACAGCTATACACAACGCACACACGCATATGCACACACTAAAAATAAAATGTAAAAATATTGAATAAATAAAATTAGGAAATGGGTCAGGGCCACACATAGCTAACTAACCCCAGCACTGGGGGCTGGGGACAGGAAGATTCCTCAAGACTTGCTGGACAGCTAGACTAGCCAAACATAGAGCTTCAAATTCAGGGAGAGATTGTGCCTCAAAAACAAACAAACAAACAAAAAACAAGATGGAAAGAGCTGGGGAGATAGTTCAGTGGGCAAATGTGAGGACATGAGTTCAATCCCCAGAACCCACATAAAAGCTGGGTGAGTGTCGTAAGCCTGTGTCCTTCCAGTGCTCCTATAAGGAGAGAGACAGGAGAACGTCCCGAAGCTCACGGGCCAGCTAGGCCTGTGTGTTGCTGTAGGAAAGCAACAATGACACCATCTCCACATGAAAGGCCAGGAGCAGAGCCCAGGGATGCTCGCTGCCATGCCATCATTCCAGGTCCTGCCTGGCCCCAGCTCCTTCACTCCGCGACTTCACTGAAGGTCAGCTACCTGTCTTGAAAGCCATAGTTCAGAGGCCTCTGTATGCAGGGTCTCACGCATCACGCTGAATGAACAGCAGGTTTTCAGCTACTGGACTTTAAAACACGACACGCAAGATGGGATGACAAAACTTTTCTCTAAAATCAGCTGTCCCTGGGTGAGATCTGGGCCTCAGGAATGAAAAGGTTAAGTCTGCCTGTATCAGCATCTATTGACCGGCCATGATAGAGAGATTGCCGATAGACATCTTCCCAACCCCTTCTTTTTGTCTTTTTTTTTTTTTTTAAGACAGGGTAGGGTCTCTCTATGTAGCCCTGGCTAGAACAACGTAGCCAGGTTGGCCTTGAACTCAGAAAGCCACCTGACTCTGCACCCTCCCCAGGGTCCTATATGCCCCAGGCTGGTCTTAAACTCAGCAAGAATGACCTTAAACTCCCCAGGGCCCCTGAGATTACATCATCACTAGACACCAGGGCCCAGCTTTAAATTGCCTATGTGTGTGTGTGCATCACATGTGTACTACTCACAGAAGCCAGAAGAGGGCGATAGATCCACCGAAACTGTAGTTACAGATGGTTGTGTGCTGCCATGTGGGTGATGGGAATTGAACTTGGGTCCTTTGGAAGAGCAGTCAGTGCTCTTAACCACTGAGATATCTCTCTAGTCCCCTGATTACTGATTAAACTAGTAGAGTTTGGGGAGAGGACAGTTTATTATGATTAAAAAGCTACAACACTGGCCATGGGTTATTCAAAGGAAGGAATCAGACATTGAATCTGTAAAGATAAGACCTAATTCGGGCATTTTAAAAAGACTTTATTTATTTATTTATTTATTTATTTATTTATTTATTTATTTATTTATTTATTTTTCAGAAACAAGGTCTTTCAGGGTCTTGCTATGCTGCCCAGGCTGGCCTATAATTCATCATCTCCTAAGTCACTGGGATAACAGATATTTATCCTCATGCCTGTCTCACAGAGGCATCTTTGAAGGCATGAAAGAGTAAACTGTTCTGGCCTGGGGATGCAGGAAAAGTCTGAAGTAGCTCACACCCCACACCGCTCTCCAAAGCAGCTTTATAAGCACTCAGAACAGAAAACCTATTTCCAGAAGCCCAGCCCCAAACACAAGGGGTGCTGGCCCACGGCCAAGTGATGAGGAACGAACGGCTTGTCCCAAGTCCTCTGAAAAGACAGCATTGTCGAGTACACACACACACACACACATCTCCCTCTTGGGTCCATTTAACAGAAGGGCCCAGTAGACCACTGTTGGTGGATTCATCATCAATAGGATGAAAGGTGATTTTTTTTTCCACTAAAACCAAATCTTATTGAGAAGAGACTCGGCTTTCTTCACAACCCCACAGGTTATTTTATGCTATGTCAGACCTGGGACAACTCAGGGGCCAGGTTCTCCCTGCCTCCCTCGAGTCCCTACTGGTCCCAGGGTCCTCCTGGCTGGCACACCCCACCCCCTACCCGAACTCTCCAGGCCAGGCAGCTGGGCTGCTCTTCCCTATATAGTCCAATCGCATTGGTTAATCACCCTCTTTGTACCTTTCGGCCTCCTGGCTACTGTACCGGGTTCCCCTCTGGGCCCTCCCCCCTTCCCTCTCCTCTCTCCTCACACGGCTCTGGTCATGTCCACTCTAGATTTTCCCAGATGTCCAATTTGTTTTTAATTTAACAATAATAATAAGAGTAAGAATAAACAGGCTGGTGAGATGGCTCAGCAGCTAGGACTCTTGCTGTCAAGCCTGATGACCTGAGTTCTCTATCTGGGAGCCACATGGCGGAAGGAAGGAGCTGCCACAAGTTGTCCTCTGACTTCCGGCCATGTGTGTGCACGTGCACACACGAACAAAGAGTGGCTTCTCTAAAGGCCATGACCAGCATTTGTCTATATGGTTATGGCCATAAATATTGAAAAGGCATCTTGGCACCACAGCGACTTAGCTGCACAATAGTGAGTTCACCCTCATGGCTCCGATCTCTTCAGCCATGGTAGTTGATGTTGACTTTGCATTTTGAGGCAGGGTTTTACACTGTAGCCCTGATTGGCCTGGCACTGACTGTGTAGACCAAGTTGGCCTTGAACTCAGAGATTCACCTCTCTGTGCCTCCGTAGTGCTAGGGTCAAGTCACGCGCCACCACACCCAGACAGAAGCCAGTTTGTATAAAGCTTTATTTGATTTGAAGTCGATGAGCCAGATGGACAGAGCCTGGAAAAACCACTGCTCATCCCCTTCGTCACATGATTTATCCTGCTTTTCTGTCTTTTGTTTTTGGTTGTTTGAGACAGGGTTTTCTCTGTGAAGCCCTGCTTTCCTGGAATTTACTCCGGACATCAGGCTGGCCTCAAGTTCAGAGACCTGCCTACCTCTGCCTCCCGAGTGCTGGGACTAAAGGCGGGTACCTCCAGGCCCAGCTCATCCTGCATGCTTAAGTATGTTGTAAAGGGAAGTAGCATCTTCAGTAGGAACAAGAGATGAACCATGTTCTCACTCCCACTGTCCAGGGCAGGAGACACTGGCCTCGTGTACAACCTCCAAGGTATTGAGGATGGGGGAAGATCATTCTGCTTGGCCTAGGGAATGGAGAGTGTCTACAGAAATGTTTAAAGTCACTCTAAGCTTGTGTGTGTGTGTGTTTGTGTGTACCTGTGTGCACACATGTGTATCTGCCTTTAGGGCTCCCTGTGGTTAGAACACCTCTGGATGGTCTCCCAGGGCCCTAGCCAAACCCTTCCTGTCCCCAGATTCCCAGGCCCTGTAAGGTCCTAGCTCAGATGTAGCTCTCACCGTGCCTGTTTTCCCAAAATCTCAAATGAGGACAAAGACCATCGAGTGTTTGCAAACGTCCTCCTCATGGGAAAGTATCCCAGGCCTGTTTTTTCTCACAGCCAACAACCAAGTCTGTAATTGACTAAATTTCAACCAGAAAGAACATTCTGCCCAGAGATGCAGAAGGCTGGCCCTTTGCTATTCAGGTGCGACTTCTCAGCTGCCCTTGCGCCCACACCGTAGGTCCACACACAACTCACGCCACAGGAGCCTGGGCCTGGAGCTTGCAATGGACACAGCAAGGCTAGGGGAGGAGAGCTTGTAGGTTACCCGGCAATGCCAGGCCATCCACTGGATGTTTCTATGAGACTCCTGCTTTAGGAAATGGAGACCGAAGAAGTCAGGAATAAGG